TTTCTGTTAGTTCTATAACAACAAATAATATACAACAGAATAAAAAATATTTAAGTGTGACTCCCATAAAACAGACATGATTTTTTTTGCCGTTTTTTATTGATAATGGTACGGAACCCTTCGTGTGCGAGGCCGACTCGTACTTGGCCGGTTTTAAAAGTATTAATAGTTGTAATTTTAAGCATACTAAAAAGATGCACACTAAATGGCAACATACGGAGCTAAAAATGCAATGGAAAGATCGTAGATAGATATCGAGATTTTCGCGTTGTGAGGTCATCGCCCGCTTAGGTTAGTTGGTAAAGCATCGGGCGTGAAACCAGAAGACACAGGTTCGAATCCAGCAGCGCAAAAGTTTTTGTACATTTATCTAAAAGAAATATTTAAGCATACTATTTAAATGATAGTGGTGAAATTAAAAGTCCCTAAATATTATAATAGTGAAAGGTGAGATTGGCTATGTAAAGGATTCCGAAAAGGTCCCCATAACCAACAAGTCTTCAATGAAGAAGTTAGCTCCTCGTGTCATAATTTAGATATTTTTAACAGAATTAACAGAATGTGGATTTTGGATTTGGTGACTAAATAAAAATCAGTGTTCTTGGGTTTGTACAAATGTATTTCCTTTGTTAAAATTTTTATGTACAAAATATTACTGCTTCATGGTTTTACCTGGTAAAAAGTTTGAAATCTAATTTCTTCCGTCCAAGGTAGAACTTTGTTTATTTTCCTATATAAATTCATTTTTTCATCCAAATATTATTGTATGATCTTTCTTGGTATCCGCATTGCGGGCACAATTTAAATGTCAATGTTTTATTTATTTCCTACATTACTACAAATAATTCCAATTAATGACTAAAGTAAACGTTCTTTGCTTACTATATTTGTGTAAATGAAATCTTTTGAGTATATAGTGTTGTGATAAGGTAATTTCCGCAAAAGTGAGATTTACATGGTCCATTATACATTAGTATAACTAAGCATTAGCGAGTGTTAACTCGCTAATAGATATAGTAAGCAAATATTACAAATGTACATATATGGTTTGGTAAATATATGGTTTTTGCGTTTTGAGATTTTAGTATTAACTAAAAAACCTACTAAAGGAATTCACCTCGAAACTAATTTATAAAATTTCCTTGCAATCTCAGGTTACGGTCGGACTTATTGAGTTGGGAAGTAGTTTGTTGGAACGGATTTTGTAATCGGGCACGATGTAACAGAACACAAGCGTGAAGGTTCCCCGTGAGCGACGGGCCGCAGGCTGCAGGCTCCGTCGGCACGCAGAGGGCGCGGGGGTGAGCAGTCACGACGCGGTTAACCTAGGTTAGGCCCCGCTCCAACATGGCGACTTTCGCGACTCCGCGATTCCGTTTTATTTATTCTCATTATTCCGCGGCATTCACTGTTGCTATAGATATTTGTATAAGATTTTCTTGTAGGTTGCCAATCGCGCTTTAATAGCATTTCTGCAATCCCATTAATGGTATTTGCATGTTTGGCAGTAACGATTTAGTATTGCATTTAGATTGGGCAATAGAATGGAACGCATAGCGATCCGTACAAATTTGAATCAGAACTGACGCTACCCTCTTTCTTTGTTCTCGTATTAAGTTTAACAATAAAACATTTAGCATGTTTAAGCTCAATAGTTGCACTAGTAAAATAAACAAGGAAGTGTTTTCGCTTAAGTCACGGTTGAAAGGATTAATTTTGTTTTGTTCTTTTATTGATAACTCGTGCGTATACGTCTAAAAGTGGTGCTATAAAAATATACTGGGTTAAACTTTTACAAAAATACCCATTGTTCAATATCGCGTTTTTAACGATATTTATTAATAGTATCATAAATAAATGTAAATTATATTAGCCTAAAACTGTTTTAGTCTCTGCGGCATGACCTTGCAAGTCACTTTAAAAGTAGGTAGCATCAAATTCGGATTTCATTTGAATCCAGTATAAATCTAGCAAGAAGCTTTCTGGCGGACCCTGACATTTTGAGGACATTTTAACGACCACTTTTTGATTTTATTCGACCCATTGATATAAATAGTACCAATCTTAAACTAAAGTAATTAATGAGTATCATTAAAATATACTTAAATAATTAGGTCCATGAAAAATTTTGCAAGGATTTTGCAAATTAATGTAAATTCGATTCAATTGTAATGTCTTATTTTGTTACAAAAGCTGAAATAGCATTTCAATGGTTCACGGGCGAATGAAGTAAATTTGATTTAGCAACAGATCATCAATTAGCAAGCATTACAGACGTTGCAATCGTGAAACAGATATTGATTTGATCAACTATTCGAGTTCCTTTGTGGCATTTCTCGATAAATATTTAGAGTTTTTTGTTTCGACATTCTTTCGGTTTGTCGATCTGATATTCTAGGACGCATGACCGCAAAATCAAATAAAGGTCGAAGCTTTGTTAAATGATTGCGACTTAGTTGACAGTTAGAAATTCCATTTACTCTTTGCCCCTATGGTGGTTAATCAGTATTAAATTCATTATGAATTCGAATGGATAAACTTATGATTCATGGGTTTCTATTATAATATTAGTTTAATAAATATATAATATTGTAAAAGATATGTCTAGTATAGATGCATATGTATGTTTTGAATTCATTTAAAGTTATATATAATACGAATAGCCAATAATTTTTTTTTGGTATATATTAACTCCGCCATTTCAATTTAAAACATTTCGGTATTCGCAGTGCCTTTCAAATTTATGATGTGCTATGAACGTGCCCTGAGTACAAAGCTTTTTGCTTAATGGATTTCGGTGCGCTCCACTATGGAATCCTTTGCGAACGTCCGTCAAACCATATAGAAACAATATAGAAGTCTCTTCAAGACAAAGTCCACGAAAATCGAACATACGTTACCAAATTGTATTTATGAAAATCGATTGTGTGCACAACGTGCAAATATAAAATCCATCTCACAGCTTTCTTCATTCTGCACCTATTATGAATTTTTCGTTCAAATTAGATGTACATCATTTAATTTTTTTTACAAGTAAGCTATTTCGTGAAAATATAAAAGGCTGTCTATTATTTATATTGTTGACTAAACTAATTATGATTATGACATAAATTGAAGACATCTTTGTAGGTTTTCTTGAAAGTCGTAATTTGGCTAGGTAGGAAAATGCTAATACTATCCAACAAGCGTGAAACTTTAGTCTTCTCAGTTCTTAACGATATAGCTTATAGCAAATTAAATGATGTGACGAATAATGGTGATTTTATAAAAATCGTTAAATTGTGACGATAAAAAAAATGGTAACAACACACGTGTATTTTAATTATTAAATGTGTTGAATCGATTAGCGCCAATACGTTTGGCAATGTCTTGTACACGTATGTAGGTTACTATCAATTTCGATGATTTCACGGAAAAATTGTAGACTCTATTTAGTAACAGCCGACAGGCTGTTAGCTGGTTCAATGCACTTGTGTTCAATTCTCTACGGTCGTCGATGGCGTTTGTTAACGAACATTGCAAACATTCAGCGGCCCAGATTCACAGGCGCTGAGGTATCTGGGTCACCGGTTCGAATCCCGCATTTCAACGAAACTTCGCATGGTCCACAAGTGTTTGTTTTGAGTGACCGTGTTTGAGTTTGTGATTTGCCTGTTAAATAGTGGTACTCGGCATAAAGAGAATCCATGTTTGTTCTTTCTGCTGTATCGGAATTTCGCGAATTCTGCTATAAAGCCATCTATATGCTACTTAGCATGCATTGCATATGGGGGTGTATGATCTATGTATGTAGGGTGACCAACTTAATGTTTATGTGTCATCTCTTTCTATTTACTATTCCGTGTATTATTTATGCGATATTTAAAATCGAATATAAATTTGATAATTATTTATTATAAGTATGTGCATGAGTTGGGTGTGTTTGGAATCATTTTTTAGTTTTATAACATACGAAGAAAAGTTATTTTTCTGGGCCACGGGTATTTTGCTCTATTTGCACGGGTATACGCAGAATAATCAAAATCAAAATCAAAATGCACCAAAATTTGTCAACATTTGCTCATTCCTGCAACAGTAGAAGGTGCTGCGTGAATCTACCACAGTAAAAATCAAAATCAAAGAAGACCGCGCGAGATCCTTATCACTTCGCAACATCTTCATTTCAAATTCGCCGATTTATCAACAGTAATGAATACGTTGAGTCTGATGGTGGTTACTGAAGAGCGGATAATGGTGGGGCGTAGAAGGCCTATGGGTGGAGGCGGGCACGTAACCCGTTGCGCTAATTATAACTATTACACAAATTGATCACTTACACCAAATTATTATAAATCACTACACGCGCTCTCGGCTTGGGTTATACGACAGCGACTCGGTTACATGATGTAGTACAAGTTAAATAACACATCTGAACCATGTTTATATTGAGATCTTCATTCGCGATATAAAATTTCTTTATTTATTTAAAATCAGTTTTTATTTACGAAATATTATGAAAATGACACGAGCTGTAATTTAAAAAGCACTTTTCAGAATATATAAGCAAGATACGTTTATACTGAAGTAACATGTATAATCAATTTTTTACGGAGTAACTACTTTTTACAGACTTTTCTTGTACAAGTTTTTATAAGAATAGTTTATTGCAACCTTATTAAAGCGATAGCTGCACTTTGGCTTCCCTGTGACATTTAAATTCTGCCGTTGCAACGTACAATATTTAAGAACGAGGGAGTAGGTGACATTTGCACAAACACTTCCTGTTTTCGAGTAGGCTTTAGAAATAACTTCGAGTAACGTTGCTTTGTTGCTGTTCAATTACATATATATAGGCATAGATAAATTTATATTTTTATAGAATCCTTTATTAACACAGGACTTGCTAAACTTTGACTTTCTTGAACTTGGTAAGAAATTGTGCATGCCTTTGCCGCTTAAAGGAATGCAATAAATAATAGAAAAAAAAAATTACAATCACTCTACTTTGTTTTTTATTACAGGAAAGGCGTGAAGAAAAATGAAACCAAAACTCGAAAATCGTCCTTTGAAAGAAACTTTTGGGAAGGTAAGCCAATTTCACTCTCAAATCTTCTTCTTTTTTCTGACCTTATTCTATACCTGCCTGCCTGACCTCAACTCGCCTTGGGATCAAAAATCCAGATCGGAAACAATTACCCTCAACCCTCGGCGCCGAAGCCAATAGCTTAGTAAATACGCCACCTACTTGCTGTCGATGAGGCAATAATATTTTCTAGATACAAAGCTTTTGTATAAATTGTTTATCCTTAATCAAATGTTACAAGCAAACTCTACATGGTACGATTACGTAAATTTTTTAAGTCATTTGAATTAACGATTTATTACCTAAACAAAATAAAGAAAGCTTACACTGTTACATGCCAGTAAGCATCAACATTACATACATTTCATATACATTTTTTGAATTTTTTAGATTAAATTAAGCCGCCGCTGACCAGCTTAAATTTAAGTTAAATTTACGTTGCTACTAAACATTACTACTTTAAGTAACGAACGCTCAAAGTTGCCACGACATATACTATCGCTATAAACGAAATTTTATATTATACCTCGTCCGATAGACCACCGAGATCAGTATAATATAGAGCAAAACGTTTTTCGAGACAGCTCCGCATTTGTCACGTCTCGAAAACTCGTTCCCCTGGCCATCAAAGAGATATTGCAAAATTATGTAGAGGTATGTAAATTTCTCAATAGGTTACGTGGCTTGTTGGAGAAACTTATTTTTATTGCATTCCGTTAGTTTGCATACATAATGTAAAACTACACGAATCCTTGCCGGCTTCGCGCCGTGAAAGTGCACCTTGCGCCCGATCGCCCTTACAGTCGACGTCGCACCTGTTCATTCCTCGCAAATGGCGTAATGCAGTTCGGCTACTGCCCAAATCGTAAACTTAATTTTGAATTTTCGCATTTTAAAACGAATATCATTGCGAGTTTTGCACATCGTCAACATATTTTTACGATTTAGTTTCGTGAACGACTTGCAGTTGGGAGGTGTGTAACGTTAAGTATTATAAATATGATTCTGAAATTTGACTACGTTCTGACAGCGGGTAAGAATTGTCTTTGTTTTTTCCTTATTCCTTTGTTTTTTTTTTTAAACAAATCCATATTTTTAATGTTCATGTTACTATTTACAAGAAAAAAATGTTTCAATAATCTTTATCAAGAAAATGTGCTAACAATGTATGGTGCCCACTGCCCATGCTAGTATAATAATCACTGATTTTATAAATAATTGCGTTCAAGTCAATTTCATTCACGAGCGTCCGACAAGTATTCGTAAAATGATTTATTTTCTGCATTTAATTAGGATTTTTTTTCATAACGTCCGTGAAAACATTTCCAATGGAATAAAAACTGCAATTTAACTCGGATTCGAACACAAGAAACTCGAGAATTTCGATGAGCTAAAAGCATTTAACCAGCCCAACTCCAGTTCTAAATTGAAGTCGTGAAATTTCCTTGAAGACCAAACAAAAAGCGTTTCGAACCGCAATGCGAGGCGTACTGCAAATTTTGATCTAACTGCCTAGGACTGAAGGTTGCAATCGAGGTGCAGTTAACACAAAGGAGATTGCAATGTTTGGCATAATATGGTTTGGCGGATTCCAGGGCGTGCCCAGTTTTACTTGCCCGCATGCCGTCACAGAGGCATTTTGTTTGATGTAATGCTATACGTATATTGTGCCTGGACCATTCACTATATGCGAAGCAATCAAAAACAAAAAGTGTTTAAATGATTCCGCATGTCGCTGCGGACAGCGTACATATAGCAATTATGTAAGTGTTGATCAGGTTCAAGCTTTCAAATAAATCGAGTTTTTAATGAATAAATACCTTCTCTCCCTCTCACTTTTTCGTTCACGCTTTAGGCTGGGAGTTTGACGTATCGAAGACGTTATTAAGACAAACTAAATTTTGACCTTTATAATATATAAACGTAAGATATGAATGCTTTATCTTGTTTAAATTATGTAAGACGTGTCACCGGAGAAAGTTAATTTAGTTTTGAAAGTGAAATCGATTGCACTTTCTTTCACTTATCCATTTCATAGTTTCGTTCTTGTATTGCGGTTTTTTTGTTATGTAGCCGTTAGTTATTCAAATTCAAAAACTATTCCTAGCTCGTTGCAATTTGTGAAAAACAACTATTCCACAATGTCTTAGCAAATGCAATAACAACTGGATATCGCATCTTAAAATCTATCACGGTCTGTACACATATGAGCTGCGATATAGTGGTAATCATAAATACCACTGTGGCTAAGGTAGCGTGAAATCAATTAAGACAAAAAGAGATTTGCAGTGTAGAAATAACGACGGCCCCGATCCGTCCGTCCGCCGGGATTAGCTCTAAGCGCCCGGCTAGACTAGAATCATAAATTGAACGCGTATAAAGTGTTTTAATAAAAGGAGGGGAATGTAAAAAAATGTGCAAACAACTCTGCAAACACGTCGGTGCGGTTTGAAGGCGCGTCCGGATGGCGAGGGGCGGAGGGTCCGGGCACATTCCAGCCTCCGCGGCCGCGACGTCACTCCAGTGCATTCCTCGCTGGTAGCTTTTCTCATGCCTCCGATCCGAAAGAAAGCGCGCGCGAGATCCGTGTAGCCTGACTCTGCCTCCAGTAAGCTCGGCTTTGTCATAGAGAATCTGATTTTCTCCGTGTAATTACTTTACCAACCTTCCAACTTGGCATTGTTATAAGCCCGAAAGCTGACTTTTTTAGGCTTATATTCATTGTGAGTATTTTTCGGTATTGTGGAGGGTATTTTAATAAGTAATATATGTAGACTAGCGCTCAGATTCCTAGATCGTTCAAACATTTGTCTCGTTTGTGTGTGTAAAAGATAAATAATACTAATTACTTACTCTTTAAAAGTCCGTTGTGAATAATTCAATTTTTAACAATTCCTTAAGGTTAAGGTTTGGTCAAGCATGAGAACACACGTAAGCAAAGGGAAACAGACTGCATCGATAGAGGGGCGTAGGTTCGACCCTGACATAGACGTAGTTATGCCTCAAGCAAATAATCACCAACTTTAAATTAAATTTTATTGTTTTGTTTCATTGAAATTATAACGGTCTTCTGAATATAAGTGTAGTTGATGGTTTAGAGCCTCCTCTCTCTTTAAATTTAAATTTAAAATGTATCAAAAAGGAATCTAGCATGTCAGCTGTCTCAATCATGTTAGAGCAGTATTTTTTTATTAAGTTCAGAAACAGCATAGTGGATCAAAATAAATGAGTAATAATACAATAAAATTATTATACAAATGTCTCGGTAACATGTTATATAAATGATACTGTAATGAACTAATTATATGTTTAATTTACGACATTTTCATTACTTTTCCTTTGATTTTCATCAGAAGTGAAGGAAATAGTAAGAATATTTAAAGGTTAAAAGTCCAATATAACGTTCTTCATAATGCGTATTAAATATATAATTTCATAATGGCTTACTTGTAATATAATTTTATAAAGATTATTATTTTTATTTTTAATTATAACTCTAATTTGCAATTTGAACATATCCAATGAGCTTGGCAAATCACAAACAAGTTTAAGCTGACATTTAAAAAGATCTAGTCTTCTTGTTTCATAACTTGTTTCATAACTATATTTGTTCAAACGAAGTCACACGACCGGTTCACGATTCTCCAAACAATTTTTCACTTTGCGTTACTTATAACATGAAGTATTATACGTTTTATTACATAACATTCGTCTCGAAAATATCAGTTTACGATCGTTCAGAGTCACCTGCGTGTATCGGAATTGAATTCAGCGGCGCTCCGTAATGGTGGGCCATTAGAGGCTCGCCCCTGCTCCGGTGGACGGAGTCGGGGGGAGTCCGTCCGGCGAGGGATGGGGGGGAGTCGCGTGCGCAGCGCACTCCGTCCCTGGCTCGGAGCAACGCCCCCGTCAAGGGCGGCGGGCGCTGCAAAATTCTGCAAGCCGACATCGGAGCTCGGACCAGTGCACCGTGCCCCGCCGCGGCGGCTCCGCGTCCGCGCTCCGCTCCCACGCCACTACGTGCGCGCGCGCACAGACCACCCCGTGAACCAAAACGGTTATTTCGCCGTGTAAATAACACACCACGGCCCCCCTGTTCCCACGCGGCGCTCGTGTCAATTGTTTTCGTGAGCTTTTTCTCCCCCCCCCCCCCCCCCTTCCCCCCAAAACGGCCACGAAAGTAACCGCTCCATGAATGAACAACCGAAAACGGGTTTGACAAACGAAAGTGTTGTGTTATGAATTGGTGCAAATGACGATTCTCATGGGGTCCATTGTGTAAGAAGTTCTCATTATGTTGGACACGCGGAAGTTGCCCAGACGCTCCATGTCCCTCCACGGTCTGTATGAGTTATGAAATGAAAAATATTATAAAAAGATCTTTGCGGAATAATAACTCTATTTATTCGGCTTAGCGCTCTAAAATAAAATTATAATAATTTAATTATGATTAAATTTTCATTCATTAAGTCTAATGAAAGTTCTTATTGTTACGTTACAATTATTTATGTATGTATTTTATATAAGAGTTTTCTTCCTATAACATTAAACAATTTAGTGATTCATAATGTACTGTAATGTCAGTCACATTTTAATAACCCATTAAAATAGGTGAATTTTTGTTTTAATGAATTAAGATTGTTGTTGCATAGCAAATGTCTTAATTATTTTGTAACGAAAAGCAAGTCTTTTATTTATAAATAAGCTAAAATTTGTTATTATGTTTTTATGTCGTTTTGGGATAGATATTTTGTAATTTTTCCTTTCTAATTACTAATTGCAAAATTTTGAACTTAAAAGATACTTTATAAGGTTTTAATGTAATGGTGGTTATTAACAAATATAATTTACGACTTAACAAAGTGTATTTCAAAGATTATCTTATTACGGAGGAAATAATAAATTATTTGCTTATCTGGATCGTTTGGAACAGGAAATTGCGTATTTGTTACAGCACTTCCTAATAATATTTTGCATAGTTTAAAAACCTCTGACCGATCGAGTTGAAAATCCTTATAGGCCTATTTTCAGTAGTGGACGCCTAGAGGCTGAAAGGATGATGATGAAAAACTTGTAAATAAATACACATTACCACCGGTAATACCGATTTAGTCAATACCGATTGAATTATCTTTATAGGAGAAATTACAAATAATATTAATAATAATTAGTCATAATTTCACATTACTGCAGAATTTTAAGACGGTGAAAAAAATTCTATTATACACATTGAGTATAATTTGTTTCCATGCTCGCTATTTCCGCTTATATAACGCTTTTAGAAATTCAAATTATGATATAAACACAATAACGCGGCCTTTATGATTTTTTTTACAACTGAATAAATTATTTCAATGCCTCCACTTAGACTGTGTGTACTTGGGAAACGGTCGCTGGTATATTTGAAAAATGAAAATAACAATGTAGAATTTCAGTATCCGACCAGTTGTTCAAACACGTTGAAGCGACTGAAGCGTGCAATATGCCTCAAAAAGATATTTTTTTGGTACAAATTTGTGCGAGAAATAAATATTATCGGCTTGTATGAATAGTTGTATCGTGAACATTATGTTGTAAGGTGCTATTAATTAAAAATGCCGGCTTTCTCCCTTTAAAATGTATACAAAACGATTAATTGTACTGGATACAAAATCCTACAGTGTTATTAAAATACGGCACACGCATTATTTACATCCAATAAAAGAAGAAAAAGAAGGTAAAATAGAAATAATTATTTTCGATTCAGATTTGTTTTAAACATTCAATAGAGTAAAGTTAAACTAATCTTATAAATTTCCATTCGAAACATTTTGCAGTGATGGTTACTATGGATGTTAGTCATGGAAAATTAACACTTTGTTAACAACTTTTGCTCAATTTAAAAAGTCTTACGGAGGTTTGTGACTAATATAGTATGATAAAATAGATGACGCATCATTGGCCACTAAGTTGGTCAACTGTAATAGGAAACCAGTGATTTACGTTTCTACAGCGTCTTAGATCGTCAATACTGCTTACACAAACTTTGAGTGCTTTGTCTTCAATATAAAATTCTGCTAGTCTGTCTGCGCTAATCAAGTCGCTCATGTATACAGTGTGCGTTTTGAGTTTTAATTGTGATGTTATATATTTTTATCATCCATGATGGAAAATTTATGTCATTGTTTAGGAACGAAACTAGAATCAGTGGTTCCAACAGTGGGTTCTTATAATTCTTACCAACTCCAAAGAGGTATGCGAGTGTGCTTTTAATTTTTTATATAAACTTTTCGATGTTGTTTTAAATAAGAATAGGAATATGTGAATATTTGTTCTTGTAAATATTTTTTATAAATAATCGATAAATCGCATGTTTTCTAAATTAATATTATATCTCACGTTAGCATAGATTGTAATATTAGACTTCCAAATCTAAAAATAAGTAACCTTACATTAAAGTGGTTTACCGATTAGTGGCCGGTTCAATATTCTATCTATATGAAGATTTGGTTACAAACGATAAGTATTTGATATAGCTCCATAATACTTACGCCAAAAATGAGTCCCGAAGAGTAACGAATTTTACAGATAGAATGTGGAACCAGCCGTTAGTAAAAGAACAACTTCAGGGTTGATTGTTATCTGCATCTGCTCATAATGATGAATCTGTTAAAGATAGTAAGACGTGAGCGCGAAAATATAATAGACATTTTAATTTATTTTTTACATAAATACATACCTTACATTCGAGAAACACTAGGGACCCCACAATATTTATTAAACAGGATTTTTAGTCTATTTAGATTCTTATGAGATTTTGTGTCAGTAACTTAACTAGAACAAGTGAAGAATACTTCCTATTCCTAAAACTTCTATCTAGTGATAATTTTATGTAGTACCGAAATCACGTATATATATATATATATATATATATATGTATATAAAACCTTTTATTTGCTTCTAATTAATTTTTTAAATAGTATATTTTTATCTTGTTACATGAACTCAAAAACTTTATAATGAATGCGATTATCTAAAAATTTTTTTACGCGGGCATTATTAATATGATTTTGATGACTCAGCGGTTCTGGCGTAATAAGGTCACCGGTTCGATTTTCAACCACACTTGGGCCATATATTTGAAATAATATAATGAACATTAATTTGTATAATATGATTATTTATTACGTTTTTATTTCTTAGTCTCAATATGTATAGACATAACATTATAGAATTGACGTTTAAAATATCTGAATTTGAAAATAAATCACAAGTAATCCTTGGTAAATATATAATAAGTGTACTTTAATTTCTACTTTAGCAAATTTTTATTGTGATTCAGATAATTTTTACCAAATTATGAAAGAAAAAACTAAGTTTGCTTACCCTGAAAGTAGATAAATAAAAAAATCAATGAACCTTTTGATCAAAAAAAAGAATTAAAAATTTAATTTAAATTATATCGTTATTGTGTCATAATAATTTGTTATTTTGTGTTATATACAAATAATATATTAATTTCAACGTTTTTAGGGTTCCCAAAGGGTAAAACGGGACTCTATTACTAAGACTTCGCTGTCTGTCTCTCCGTCTGTCACCAGGCGTGACAGACGGACGTTCTCATGAAGCGTGATAGTTCGTGAAATTTGAAATTTTCACAGATGATGTATTTCTGTTGCCGCTATAACGACAAATACTAAAAATATTCCCCATACAACAGCCATGATTTCTGCTGCCGATTTTATAGATAAGGGTACGGAACCCTTTGTGCGCGAGTTCGACTCGCACTTAGTCAATTTTTAAATTGTGTCAATACGTAAATAGTCTTTTTAATTGTGTCATTGTATGGGGTTGAATGTTAAATAAAAAAATAAGTTAAGCTTGAGATGTCATGAAATTTCTCTTATCAGTGAGGGCCAATTTTTCAGTATTACAGTAACATAAAGCATCGAAATCAATTTTGATTATTAATTTTAAACATTACATGTTTACTCGAATACTGACCTAATTATTATAAAAGTCTAATTAATATATTATAAATGCTTTTTTTCAGATCGCATCCCTAAAAGTGATGCAGAAGATAAAAGTCTTTCAAATGATGAAACACCTCTCCCTACTTGTCCACGGCAACCACCAGATGGCGTGGAAACCCCTTCAGATGCAATAGACAAGGCTCCGGATTTACCATCTCGGCTCCCACCACGACTTCCACCGGCCTGGTCGGGTACCACCCGTCCAAGGTTTTCTTATTTGTCAAGAACCCAAGATGCCCGAAGTGAAGCCAGCGTCAAAGATAAAATTGCTATGTTTTCTAATGATATGGTGGCATCTTCAGATCGCTTAGATAAGTGTGGAACATTGCCGGCTAGAACCAAGTCAACGTTAAAAAAGAATTCACCGTTATTCGTGAACAACAGTTTTTCAGAAGTTTCTACGTTAGACAGACGACTCACTAAGTCACAGGACAACTTGGATGACACGCCTCGAACGTATAAAAGGCACTCTGACAGACCAGAAGTACTAGGAGCGCTTGAATCAAGCAACATGGAAGTTAAAAATAATAGATATTCTCATTTTGAACTAACAAAAGGGCCTTTATTTTATGGTAGCACAACAACTTTGCCATCCTTCGTTGATACGACCTTTACTCGTAGTGTATATCACACTAGAAGTGTTAGCGATGATACTAGCAACAAAAATGTATCCACTCATAAATTAGAACACCTAATTGAACAAAGGAAAAAGTCTATGTCAAAACTGCGTGGTTTAGTTATACCTGAAGTTCAATCACCTATAGTTGATCTCCCTGAAATAAAAGTAAAAGACCCTCTTTCGAAGCCCTTTATTGTTAAATGTAATCAGAGTAATACATTTAAGAAAGAAAACATTTTGACTACGAAATCTGTGAATATGAATGATAATAAATGGAAAACGAATTTCTTGCCGAATAATATACCTAAATATTCACCTGCCTTTAAAAGAAAATCGTTACAAGTATACAGCCCAACGTCCCTTTCTAAAGAATCTACTCCAGAAAGGAAGTTAATTGAAAGATTCGATATGGCAAGTAAGACATACAATAAGCCAAATGTTGGTACATCTATAAGAAATACATTTGATTCTACACCTGTTTCCCAATTAACACGTAAAGAATATAAGAATGTTTTGGGTGATGTTCGTGACTTTAAAAATGTTGAAATTAAAATATGCACTACGACTGATATTGTGGACAGTGATAATGAGTCTGCAATGAGTTCAGCACACTCCAGCTACCGATCATCTGCTTCATCGCCTATGCATAATATGGATACGATAGAATCAGATACCTCTAGACTTTCCCCAAGAATTTCCCACTACACATCTTATACACTTGTTAAGTCCGAAATTCCTTCTAAGTGTTCTAATATGGAGAAGAACTGTGATGATTTTATGAAGCGTAAAGTTTGTCGCTCCGTTTCATCAGATACCAATATCTCACTTAGTTCTTCGGCGGGATCTGCAGCCACATCTGGATCACAAGCAAGTTGCAGTTCACTTGAAAGTTCTGTTGCTGACTCAGACAAGAGAAAAGTTTCAAGAACATATAACGTGGATACGATAAACAGGAGAAATATTCTAGCTTCAGCCAAATGCAGGAGTGGTAGGGATATAAATCTCAAATCCCCTGTTGTTGAAACAAAATTCTCACATGAGTCTTACAACAGATCTCCCAGTCCAACATTGAAATCGTCTGACCGTCTTTCTACACTCACATCATCGGTGAGTGCTGTAACGAATAAAGGCGAAAACAGACGACGCAACAAGATAATTGCGGAAACCGATTCTGATACAGATGACGAAACTCATGTCCGACACCGAAAAACTGAATACAAAACTGCAAGACTAAAACGGAACTCAAGTACTTCCAACAAAAATAAACAGAATGAAAATCAGGTTGAAAATACTAAATTAGACGATGGATCGAAAATAAACTTGAGCATATCGTGTAAAGAAAAAATTGTTCAAGATATGAAGAAACCTGTACAAGAACATTTCAATGACTTTAAAACGAATACACTATCTTCGTATGTTCAAGAAAAAGCAAATAATGTCCACCTGAAAACAAAAGATGTGAAAAATATTATAAGCCAGGAACCTGTTTTCGATAATACAGACGTTGTTGATAATATTAAAGCGCCATATCGAAAGCCGCAGCAAATTCCAAGTAACAAACAAGCTCTCAGTGATAGAAATGAAAGCAATTCTGTGAATGAATCTAAAATTAGTACTTCAGTTATTAGGCTCATAAAAGGCGTTGGTGCAGGGGTTGGCCTTATTTTGGCGGGTGGAATTGATTGTGAAGCTAAGGATGTAACGGTTAGTATGGAAGCTCACTACTTGGATTCATTTAAAGATAAAAGTAATGTGAAGGTATTTAATTTTGTTCTTTATAGGTACATCGAGTCTTAGCCGATAGTGTAGCGGCAAAAGCTGGACTCAAACGTGGAGCAAAAGTTAGAAGCATTAATGGTTACACTATGACAGGTCTTACGCATGCTCAATCAGTCGCTATTCTTAAGGTAGGCTATACAATAGAAACTGAATTAATTACATAATAATAGCGATATATAAAAAGTCATTAGTGGGAACATGTTCAATAGATATAGATCCTGATTGATGACTCCGTGGCGCAGTTGCCAAGGTATTGGCTTCGGCGTCGGGGGTCGTGGGTTCGATCCCCACACGGAACAACTATTTGTGTAACCCCTGTGGGTTTGTTGTTTTGTATCTGGGTGTTGGTCCGTGTGAAATTTATGTTTGTAAAAAGTCCTTACATCGCAGGATAATATTATCCTAAATTAAGAGCAATGCTTTTCAAAGAATAAAAAAAAATTTATTTCCTACCAAGACTATAGTGCACTCTTGTGTTTAGGTCAGTGTCACTTAACAGAGCGTCTAAAGCCAGCTATTTAACTTTTCTTTAAGTTAAATTATAAAAAAGGAACATATACGTTACCAAAATAAGTTCTACCAACTTGTTATTTTGTTTTTGTTTACCTTTAAATTAATATTTTTCAGGAGCAACGATCTGAAGTAGATATTGAAATAGAAAATGAAATCGTGACAAATGACAATGTATCGGAATATGGCTCTGAAAATGGTAAATAAAAATATTTTTAAGTAAAATATGTTAATACTACCATAGTTATATTGATTCTAATTGATTTATTTTCTAATTAGCGGAGTCGAAGGATCGTCGGAAGAAAGACGAAATAAAAGTAGATGACGACAAAGCCAATATCAATAGTGGCGTAGTAACCGTAATTTTGGAAAAAGCTGGCGGTGGAACTGGGCTCGGGTTTGGCCTAGATGGTGGTCGAGACTCACCACACGGTGATCGACCATTGACTATTAAAAAACTATTTGCAGGTTTGTTAGCCTTTGGAATATATTTACATTCCCATTGTATTATGAGGTGGCAACGCATCTGCAACCCTGCGGATGTTGCACATGTCCAGAGCGAGTGGACCGCCAGCTCGCTTGCCACCTTCTCACTTAAAAAAAATATGTTTATATTTTCTTGGATTAGAGTTATTGTTTGTCTACATAATGTAAAACTATTATTCATAATATATTTTTGATGATGCTCAACTAAGTGTATTTTTAGGTGGCGCAGCTGCACAGAGTGGTCGAATTCTAGTCGGCGCGGAACTGGTCTCCGCAGGCGGACAGTCTATGGAGACATTTACACGTACTCAGGCTTGGGCAGCTTTGAAATCTCTGCCAGTAGGTCCTGTAACATTAGTGCTTCGGAATCCTAAATGAGATTCCAGAATCTACTTTAGGTGCACCTTAATAACACATAAAAGATCGACATTTTGTGAAATTTTAAATATACTGTGGCGCATGTAAAATTCATGTCATCCGTGTACATGCTTTGAATAATGAAAGAAGAATTACGAATTAGTTGCCTAAGGCGAATGAAAGATAAGATGCTTGAATGAGATTTCATTTATAAACACGGATGTTTTAATTCTATAATATTAAACAATAATAAAATAGTAATATTATATAAAATAAAAAAGATAAGATTAAATTAATTAAAGTTTAGAGAAGTCTTAATAAGTATAGCGCTTGTTTATGCATTAGTCAGTATTGTTAAAACTTTTTGTAAATACAATTTACGCTAACAATTTATCATAGACTAATACAAATGTATTTTCTTTCATAAGACATTTCTTAAGACTGTATTCCGTTTTATTTGTTAAATTGTTTATTTATTAATTCGAATAATTTAATCCTAGTCCGTACAATGAAATTTGTGATGTTAACATTTCGTAATTATAGGCATTGTACTTAATTATAAGTATCAAATAGTAGACACCAACTGCATTAACCTGTTGAGTGCCATCCCGAAATACATGTCTAGAAAGTTTTGAATCGGTTAAAAATCTGCTTTTTAACGATCTTAATCAATATAAATCATTATTTACGGCTGTTGAGTTATTATTATATTAATAAAATATGACGATTAATATCCATGTAACATTAAATAATCATTTGTTACTTTTCAGTACATATAATTATAGTAATAACTAGCTCTGCGCAATATCCTATCAATACTTACCTAGTTTCAAACCGCTTGCCATGGATATGGACGTTGAAGTGAAAATCCTAGCCCCGTCTTACCATTAATTTGTAGAACATAAGTAATTTTAAGTCATATTTGTACATAGCTTCCGATCTTTTTTAATGGGTTTTCATAAATTAACAATGAATACTTAATAATTTTATTATACTTATTTTATATTGATGTAATTGAAAATGTTTAAACCTATATTTATATCGATGAACGTGTATTCATATAACGTTAATAAACATGGTATTTTTTTATTGATTTCTCCTTACTTTATTTTAAAATTTGTTCCTTGTTTTAAAGAATATGCGTCTGCAATTTTTCCATTGATTCATTTTGGATCGGCAATTGCATGGCATTGATTCACATATTTTAGATTACTAAAAGAGATCTGTCTCAAAAACATCCTTATATTTCTCAAGTCTGCTGTCTCTGTCTGAAGTTGTCCTGTATCGCCTCCCATATGAAATATTTTAGGGTACGTCTTCTTCTAATATTTCAAGTTTCACTCAAATTAAAAAAAAAAAAAACTTCAAGCGAGGAGCTATAACAAATACCGAACAAAAATTTAATAATGCGGAACTCACCCTTGATATATATTATGTAGTCATTGTATAGTCTTTATAAATATTTGTTGTTAAAATTTTTCAGAATGTAATTTTTCAAATTATAGTGCCGTTCATTGTACAACGTGTTTGGTGTACATTCTGTTAGAAACACACAACATAGGTACCTCTATATAATTTATACAATTTACATAATTAATTGAAATTAAGATATGTATAGGCTCCTCTTAAAAGTTATAAAAACTATTGAATAACTAAAATTATTTAGGAATTCTGATCGAATCGGTTTTATTTGATTTAGTAAACTCTAATAAACGAGAGTATCAAGACGGCATGATGCAAAATGTATATTGCAGATGTAATGCAGATCCACTGCAGTATTAACTGCGTCCAATTCAATAAAATATAAATATATAAGTGGATTCATGAAATATAACTTAAATGCTTTTTTGGGATGTTCTTAGCGTATTTAATATATTTATTTATTTAGAATATTAATTTTATACTTTTAAAATGTCTTTAAGGCTGTATTAATAATATACCATATAGCTAAATAGCAGAGCTACAATTTACCTAATGGATAATGGGTTCGACGGCATATGCACATTTTGTTATAATAAATGTTGACAAATGTATAAAAAATGTTCGTATAATTAACAGCCACAAAATAACATCTTCTCTTTAGAAACGATAGAAATAAAGTATCTTTAAAAAATAGTTCGGAGTTACTGTTGTCTATGGTCTAGATCAAGGGTTTCTAAATACAGCCTGCGAGAGAATTAACCGGTCATAAAGGCGCTGTCGATCCGGCACGCCAGTACGAATCGGAATTTCTTAACACCCCTAATATTGTTTCGTTGCAAAGTCACCGTATAAAATAATAATTAATTGTGTTATAATTAAATTTTACACAATGCTAATCTAAAAATTTAAAGTCCTTATTCGAATCCGGAAGTCGTGGGTTCGATTCTGGCGTAGCCAAAAAACTTTTCGTTCATTTTTTCTAAAAAATTATTCAGTTGCATATATTTATCGTACCATTTAAATTTAAAACAATACTTACTATTAGTATGAATTATGCAGTTACAATTTTATACTGACAAGTTTTTCCAGCTGTCTCCATTGTTTAATTTAAAATTAGTAGTAGTTTAAAATCATTGAACGTTCAGACGAATCCATCAATGCCTTACAACCAATTGTATTGTGCTATTGAAATTTTTAAATAAACTAAAAATTTTGTGGAGGAGTGTACGAAAGCGTTTGGAGACCCATGGTATCCCTACCTATACCCTAGATATTAAGCTTACATAAATTTGGTCAATTAACATTTTATTGTAAAGTCGTGGTTCTCTTGATGCCGATGGAGTAATAGAGGCAAAGGCAAAATTTGTTTAAGTCGTAATGAAAGTAAATATAAATCAAGACGTCTCGATTTATTATTTACTGACATTGAATAAACATTTAAAACTACTTTTGATTTTTTTAAACAAACTATTTTAAATTATACTCAAAAGCAGCTTAAACCTATTATTATTTACTTAAGTAGGTATTAAAAGAAGTAGTTTATTTCCTTAGTCACATTGATTAAAACAATTTATTTCACAATGCAAACATTTATTTGGCAGATTAGTTTCAAGCACGTTATTCTAAACAATTATTCTTATTTAACTATTCCCGTGTAAAAGTTTAATTTTGCAAATCTGTACAAAACTTAATAAACCACTGTTTTACATTGATGTTAAAATATTTTATGTTACAAAAAACTACAATTTTAAATAATATATTCAATAAAAAATACTTATAGGTTTTAGTAATATAAATATTAGATATATACTTAAGCTACAGTTAGATATAAAAATAAATTAGTCATCTAAAATTATCACTAGGCTTTATTTTTCCATTGCGCAATCTATATTCGCAGTCTTTATCACAGACAATTTTATTAAAATTTTGTCGTGTTTAACTTATTTGTTTTCATAAAGCAGTACTCACACAACTCTTTTATATTCTCTCGCAGTGACACACGTAATTAAAGTAAAGTAACAGCGTATGTTCAATTACTGGCAAAAGGCTCCACTTTACAAAGGGTATTAGGCATAGCCCACCACGCGATCCCACTGCGGATTGGCAGACTTCATATATCGTCTATTTTTTATTATCGTTTCGAAAATATGGGAGTTTCCTTCACCATTGAGCACGTGATAAGTCAGCACTTAAAAAAGAAATTAACAATTCTATTGAATTGAACTCAGATTGCTAGAGTATGTTGAATTAAAAGCAAACGTCAGGAAACTGAGCTATCACGACTTGGTGACACACGTTAACTATATACTAAAATGTTTTCAAATTTATAAATATGCGCTGTATACATTTATACCACATATGTTAATCAGATATACAATCAATAAGGTATAATATTCTATAAATTTCACACATACATTCATTTGCGTTCGAAAGTAATAATTCTACCTCTGTTTTTCTCTTACTACTGTACTTTACTTTTCTGTATTAGTTGCGATGTACTTTGATTGGCATATTTACAACAAAAGAATTTATCATATCATAGAACTTATTTTAAAGTTACCAGAAGTTGTCTGTTGCACTCATCATAAAGTATGGTAGTAATTCTTAAAAATATACTGCAAATTCCTGGATTCAGCAAGTCCTTGGACTTTAATACAAACTGACGCGGCTGTTATAGTGCGGCAGAAGACTATATAAAAATATAAAACGCCACAGAATTAGTTTAAAATTTTTAATATCTCTAAGAGTTTGTATGCTATCTTTGGTTAAGTATTTTAAAATTGTATTACAAAATTATTACAATTTTATTACGTTAAATGTTAATTTTTCATGTAAATCGAACTTTTTAATTATTGTAAAACATTTTATGATATATTTCAATATTACTGTGAATATAATTAATATTTTAATTGCCTCTCAGTAATATTTTATTAATAGGTACAAAATTAAATGAGTAATTTTAGTAGTAGTTTTACTTATATAGAATTGTTTTTCTACAAAGGTAGAGTGTACAATTCTTTTGTTTTTGCCATTAATTGACTTTCATTTACGTATTATAAAGTATACAATTAAGGTTTAATTTTAACGGTTAAACACTAGCTGTGATATTCAACTTGTAACTTTTGCTTGTGAACATTCGAAAACTCGTTCATACACGTTCATACTATGATTTGAGCCTGTGATTAACTTAGTTTAAATGTCTGTCTTCCGTAAGTAAGCAAAATTTTTTTCACAATTCAATGAAAATCAAACTAAAGTTTGTATTTGTATAAAAAAATTTAAACTGTGCCAAAAAATGTAAGATTCAGAACCGTTTATTCCGTCTTCTAACTACAAACTTTTTTGATAATAGTGACATCTATCGGTACTAAACGCAATTAATTACCTCAGTAAAACCAAGTGATGGTCAGGCCGAAACTGCGAAGTTATTGCAATAAATCTACGCGTGACATCTACTGTCGACTATTCGTACTAATGCGATTATAGAGTGGAATAGCTGGAAGGAGTTTGGGGCGCCTGAAGCGGTGAGGTGTCGCCGCAACAGGCGCAAGGCAGTCAGCGAACGGGCGCTCGCCTCGTGACGCGAATCAGCACTGGACCAGCTCTGACGTCCTTGAATAGCCTGATGGCTTCCCCGTGAGTGAGGCCGGCTGTCCCCCTACCATTCACTGACAGTATTTCGTCACCTGCGGGTAAAAAAATGTACATGTGTATTTATGTATGCACGTAAGAAGCTATACTTCTTTGGCGTAGCAAAAAACTCAATCCCAAAAAATGATTTTTTTCATTTTGCTTATGCCGTGTTTAACACAATATCGATGTTTGACAAAGAGAAAGGGCAGTGGCTAAAAATTTGTTGAGAGAAATCTCAAGCGTCTACAAATAACATAAGAACAGATGTTACCTAATATTATAATTCAGGATTTCAAATTATAATAAATGCTTGTTAGTCTGGGAAAAAAGCATATATTTTTGGATACTCAATTGACTAAGCATATTGGCAGTAAGTTATTAAGTTATTCTTTTAACAAGAGTTAAAAGAACGAAAAAAATACATAACTTTTATAGTAAGATCATCCAGTGTTAGAAAAATTGAATTAATTTGTATATTAAATTTTAGAAAGCAAAGTAGTGTGTTAAAATATTGACATGTTAAATACATTCCATAAAAGTTACTATAGCAGATCTTTTGTCTACAAAAGATCTACTATAGTAATGACTTTATCAAGTTATAGAATATTTTAATAAATTATAGAAAATAGATTATATAGCATTCTTAAATTAATTACATTGTATTTAAGTTATAAAGTGTTATAAAACCAGTTAAAATGGGGCCAAGATCATTAAGTTCTGAATATAATTTTGAACAACTGCATATATGCACATTGGCCTCGATTTTATGTTTCGACTGGACTTTCAGATATTTTGATTTAAATTTAGTTTAGCAGAATTTTTTAAGCTCTCTTTTCTCAAGATGACACTTTGTAAAAAGTAACCGCCTTCTGAAAGAGAAACCAGAAGAAGCACGTTCGAATCCCGCAACGCCGAATGGTTTTGTTCATTTATCTACAAAGAAATAAAATTTAAATAGTTTAGGAGCAGCTGTAACTAGATAACGAAGTTCTATGTTATCTTGGTATAAGGCTTAATATTTCTTACGCTCAAATTTAAGCCTTAAAACTAATTTTCACCGAGAAAGGTGTAGTAATTCAAACACCACTGGTTAATAAATAAACACATGGCTGCAGGTGCATGAAGGTCGTAACGTGCAGTTAGTAATAAACCGAGCAGATGGCTTCTAACCGACAGCGAGGCATGTCTTTATGCTAACAAGGACATTTCTAAACGAAACTAATGAATACACATAATCTCCAGTCTATTATTTCATTAGGAATGTTTTTATAGTGAAAGAGGCTTTAAGTTTTGGAATGTGTTCATGATAACCGTAAATACTCTTAACGAGACTGGTGTGGCTTGGTCTTTAAAATTTTTATTTGAAATGGGATAATATCAGAATTCATTTATAGTGCGCATTTTAAATCAACTTTGTTCCTCTGAATTTTTAAATAAATTAATTTCACGGATTATATCGCGTACTATATTTTAAAATGAAACTCGCGACACGTTGAATACTTTTTAGCGTCTTGTTACACCTCAGTCTATCTCGTGACCATGAATTAATTATCCATGTCCAAGAATAATGTGTAGTGTTCATGTAAATGTAAGAAATAGAGTTTTGGAATACGGACATGCGGTACTTCTTACCTTCTCGAAGCAGGCCGGATTCAGCGGCTTGTCCATTATTGAAGATCGTCTTAACAAATATGCCCATGTCACCGCGCGGAGAGTCGCGACCTCCCACAATGCTAAAGCCAAGGCCCTTTCCTCCCGCCGATTTTGTGAATCGCACCTGGAAGTTTGGTTTATTATTTTCATTTAGGAATTAATGAACCTTTAAAAGTAAAAGATAGTTGCGGGTTGTGAACTCAATATTTTGTGACCGACGTAAACACATTTTTGAAACGTTGTACCTACATTATTCCCGCATGGTAAATGAAATAGAAACCATTTGAGTAGCAAGGATCATTTAGATTGTTGTTTGTCATCATGTTGTCATGTTGATCATCATATTTACCTCGAAAGTGTTAGTATCTCGCGGTTCGGCGGGCGGAGGTCGTTTCGTAGACTTTTGTCCTGGCGTCGGAGGCGCCGGCGGGGGTCTTGGTGTGCGTGGAGTGGCACTCACCCTCAGTTCCGCTACGCCCACGCGCAATTGTTGAATTGGCTCCTGTCTTGCCTGCACGCGCGGCAGCCTATATGGCTCCTCCCAAAGTCGTTCGGACATGTTCGCCGCGAGGCGACTGTAGCCGTTCCTGCAAGGGAGTTCAACGTCCACGTTTTCACTGTACGGCCTGCTCCGCACGTCTTTGCAACTCCTCCTGCGGTCCATTCCGTAGCTGTAGTCTACCACATCCCGGGTTTCGTCGTCTCGGATCAGCGGGGCGCGTTGGCCCGATGGGTCTTTCGCTCTGTACACGTTTGGCGAACTGCACCTGCGCCTCAAGGTCGCCGACTGTCGTGGCGGTGACGGGGACGAGGTTTGCCGCTCGGCCGTCGGGCTCGGGACGTAGAACGTCGCCGGTTGTTGCTGCGTCGGCGCGAGGACGTCGTGGGCCGACAGAGCTCGGCGACGCAGGCCGCCGCCGAGCTTACCCAAAGCCCTCAGCAGGTCGGGCGCGCCGCTGGTTACGCGCAACGAGGCCGTCGTGTAGACTTTGCCGCGGTGCCTGAAGGAGAGCTTCGACGGCGGCGCCGGGGAGCAGTGCGGCGGGGGGCGCGGGGGGGAGGGCGAACAGCGGACCGGGCTCGGCTCGCGGGTGCCGGAGCCGGGCCGTAGCCGCGAGCAACGTCGCCGCAGCTTCCTCCACCTCTGGGAGAGGTTCGCGTTCCAGCTCTCTTCTGAAAGTCGGAGTAACGCGCTCGTCATGAACGGTAATATATGTGAGGGATAAAAAAACAGGCACACCGGATGCTTCGTGTGGTATGGGGCTATAAACGTTGATGGGCATGAGCTTATCGATAATGGTTTGAGCAAGCATGCCGATGGCCCGTGAATGCGGTAGTTACCTTTCTTATTAGTGTCGGCGTCGGAGGCGTAGTCGCTGGCGCGGGGAGCGGGAGGTGCGGGCGGTGTGGCGGGGGCGGCGAAGCTGTGCCGCAGCGGCGTCATGCGCAGCAGCCGCGGCCGATCGCCACCAGCGCGCGAGCCCCATGCCGGCGCCCCCATCACTCAATGGACTGAAATTGATAGATAAAATCTTCAGCTTTAACTCGTCAATGAATTATACTGTCATCATTGTGAAATTGATTCATATGAATTCGTTTCGTTAATGTCCGCAATTTACGTTTATAAGCTTGAATCGAAAATTTTTAAACGCATCGTTTCCTATCTCGGAGCTGTTCACCAAATGTGTTGTATACGAAATTGTTGTTGATAGGTATTTTAAGATTCATAGGCTTATGTAATCTTAACTGATACGATTAATAAATTTAATAATCTAATTTAAAAACACACTATGAGATGGGTTTAAAAAACTTTTGGTTTTGAACTGATTCAATTTGCGGTAACAGAATTAACAAAAATAGTTCGTAAAGCCCATCTTGTTGCAAAGTACAAGATTATAATTATCGTTGTTTCACATTCTCACCATTACCTACGACTTTTCGATTATTGTTGAGAATGTAGACCTTTACATGGTTTTCTATAATTTTATTATTACCTGATTACCTCTTCCATTTCAAAAGTTCGTTTCGGCTCGAACCAAATGGAGGTTGAATATATACTCCGCTTGTCAATGCATAAGAGGAGCTCATTGCTATAATTAGACGTCCGATTTTATTGCCTCTTAAGAGCAAACGATACGTCCTGAGAACAGCTGGCCCAACAGTAGGTATCGTGTTTATAACGGAGTTATTTAGTTTAGAGCTTTTTATGAACACCATGTTTAGATGTACAAACTGGCCCGCCATGTCTAACGCCTACTGCGCGTGGGCTACGGTAAACAAGTCGCGTCCGGTGAGCAGGGCCTGAGCCCTGAGCTCAGTGAGTGTAATGTCTACGTTAATTGTAACGCATGACGTACTACTCTTATGTGTTTGTTCAGCAGACTGTGATCGCCCAAAATGCGTTTTCCGTCGACGAGGTTGGCTAATGTCATATTCAAATTGTATGATATGTCATTAACAACATTTATCGTAGTTCGGCGTCGTCCTTTTGATAAAAATGTAATTAATCAATTTAAAAGGATAGATATGTGGACTAAACCAGCATTTAAGTCATTACTATTACAATAGAAATTTCAATAATAGTCTTTCAATTGTTGCGCTAAGAGCTAACGATTACAAACTTAATTGTTTACACACAAACTAGTTAATTTTTAATATTCGTGCGATCACAGACCAGTAACTTTTCACTACACTGTTGTATTCGTTGTAATATTGTATGATACATGGTAATTGATGTGACAATGAGATAATTAAGGTAGTGACACGTAACTATTACCGAGTACATAAACGGCTGTTTGAATAATCCTACTGATGTTAGATAAAAAAAAACGTAGTTTTTGTTAATTCTGTACCGTAGTGTTGTTTATTTTAAAATTATTTTACGAGTACTGATGAAAATGGAAAACTTATTTTTCAATTGTTTACATGTAAATGAGATTATGTGATGTCATTTTATAGAATACTTTGAGAGAGAATTATTGCACGAACATGGGAACTTGATCGGCATAGAGGTTTGTGAAATCACAAGCCGACCCAATAATTAGCCAACACAATATTCATACGTTTATGGATTAAACTAAAAGTAAATTTGTTTGTGTTTGTTTCAAGTTTGAAAATGTAAAAAAGTAAAAGAATAGTAAACGACATAACACTTCAGTAAAAATGTATATATACATATTTTGTAATACTAATCAACTTGGTTTATTTACACACATGTACATAGGTGTGTAACAAGTGGCTTGTATCCGACAAACGGTGCACTGAAGATATCCTTCGAAGCGTATCGATCATCTGTCTCGATTATAGCATTATTACTGTTATTACTTATACTAAGGTACAAGTACAATTGTTGGATGTATTTGATATTGTAAGATAACATATTATAACATCTTTATATATTATAACATATATTTTTGCACGACGTATAAGCTTAAGTGCTTGATAAATTTAGCAAAACTTTAATGGCATTAACAAATTCAATGTGGAAAATATAAGTTTGGGACAGCTTATGTTTTTTTATGTGAGAAGGGTGATAAGCGAGCTGGCGGTGCAGCTGATGTTAAGTAATAACCGTCGCTCATTGAGATTAACAATATCTACAGAGTTGCAGACGCGTTGGTACATTTTAATTAAATGGGCTCCGGCTACCGCAATAACCAGACGAAAGGCAGAAGTATAACACTTCCACTTCACGCCTGTCTTCTTTGAGATCTTGATACATACATACTCGGACGGACCTACCCCATACTTAACAACAGCGTACACTGTTGCGTAGCCCTACCACAGTTACATTATTTTAATATATCTCATGTATTCATATATTTTTCGTAGGGTGTTATATATTAATGTAACTAACTTGATACAACACTAATGTATTGCAGCCTTTGGCTTTGAATTCGGCATAATTTTAAAACGATCCTCGGAGAACAGTTAACATTCGGGTTTACGTGCGGAGACTCTCTAATGTGTCTAATACATCGAACGCACGCTGCATTAAGCTTCACAGCATATTAACGTTTACTGGGTCCGTCTTCCTTAACATGAAACTTCAAACTATCGTTCCCAAATGAACATCGAAACAGTACAGGGAAATTTATGAAACAATTATGAAGTTTCAACTAGGATTTCGTAGATAAAATAACCATAAATTTAATCATCTTAGCTTTTTCTTTGAGCACCAGATGACTGATAAACATGTATAAAACATACATCCCTTTTTTCTATAATAAAATTGATCTGTCTGTTTGTAATTTTAATATAAATGTCAAACTTTTAGTGACAACTGCTATTTGTTAGAGAACTATACATAAATTACCCTGATTGGAATATGATCTACGTGTGCGTCTGTAATTATTTCTCGAATTGACTCCAAAACGCCTTAATGGTTTTCATAGAAAATTATAGGTTTTGAAACAAGAACTTTCACTTTAGTTTTCTTTTATGTTACATTGATACCTGTATATAGGGTTATTTAGGATCTCTGGTTATAGGGTTCAGAAGATATGAACATTATTATTTCTTCTGGCTAGATCCTTCACGGGGACGAATTTGCAGGCATAAGTTAATACAATTTATAGTTTGCTAATTATATTTATATAACGCGTAGTTAGAAAATATTTTACCTAATACGAATTTATAATCGTATGCCGCTAAGCATATTACGCTAAGGAGTCAGACAAAAACGGGAATAAATCAATACCAAACGAGCGTCGCCTGTGGACAAGATAGTGATATTAAATTCCCTACCCGACTCACAGAAGGGGTCATCTTTGTTATCGACGTTCGCCCTGCGGTCAAATAGAATTAGGGGACGGACCACGATAAATTGTGGTTAAAGCAAAAATTCTACGTACATCTATCTGACTACAGCTTTGTATCTATTCAAATAATCCTGCCGGCTCGCGAACAAATTAATCTTTTATGAACATTTTATTTATTAAGATCCTAGCACAATGATATAATAAAATATAATCAGCGTTAATATTCATGGTTATTAAACAGTAAACACTGTATTTTATATATAGTATAAAATAATGTTATGAACTGCGTAGGTTGAGTTGTAATAAAGTTGTTTGATTGGAAAAACATAAGTATGTGTGTTACGGTGGTAATGTTATCGTAATAAAGGTAAAACTTAAGAAAGATTTATTTAAAGAATGAATTAGACTACAACGAGGTATATAAATTAAAAAAGACAACGAATAACATCAGACATGTACTACTTATATGTACTTATTGTTACATTCAGACTTGAATCCCAATCTAGTTATAAATTCGCCTAAAAGTCAAATGAAAGAATATCGTATAATATATTATAGTAAAGTATCAGCCTGTACATGTTCCACTGCTGGGCAAAGGCCTCCTCTGTACAGAGGGTATCAGAAGTCCACCACGTGGCTCCACTGCGGATTGGCGGACTTGACTCATTTTACATACTTAGGAATATTAGTTTATGAAAACAGGTAAAAGTTTCCTTCTTAATTTTACTGAATATTTTAATCTCTCAGCTGACCATAGTTTTATTCTTTCCCACTGGTTCCAAGGAATTGTTTGTTGCACTCGTTCTCTCTAACTCCATTAACAACAGCCGCCTAAAAATGATTTCGCTTCAAAAATATTTTGTCGTAAACAACGCAACGTTTCATAGATTAATCCATTTTCCGAGAAACCGACCGGCCGTAAAAAGCTGTACTAGATTCTATTGTTTAGTGTTTCATTGTGCGGTGCAGTGAAGCGTCTAGCTGTAAGCCAAGAAGCGAAGACGATTTTTACAACGGCGATGTCGGCGTCTGCGCTGTCCCGTTGCAGGCCAAATTCGGACGGCCGTGGTCACCGCTCTTCCGGCACTCCGCGATATCGGGGCTCAATAATGCGCGATTTCATATGCATAAATAAAATTTTGTGCGTCCGTTGGTTTAAACACTGAATGTTCCCCAACGATTGCCTCAAATTTTGAAAAAGCTCTCTGTCTCCATACTTGCGTGTAAGTGTGCTCCTTACGTTAAAAAGAAATATATTTTGATTGCAACGGTAGTGCTATCTGCCACACCAACCTAAAGCTAGCATTAAAATAAAATCAAATCAACTAGATATAACTTCCGTCTCTACCGTTAGTATGGAAACGATCAAATTCCAACGACAATGTTTATGAAGTAATAACGGTACCATTGCCAACTGTATGTTTAATTTCATAAGTAGCACATGCAGCGTGAATCGCGAATCGATTCAAAACTATAAACTCATTTATTTACTAGTTATGTTAATGAGGAGGAAAATAATAACAAATCGGGGACGATCAAATGACGGTAAGGAGTTGATATTATTAGAAGAATATAACAGAAGCTACTATAAATCAAGCTTTTATTTGTTGTGTAGGAACACGGAGCAGCTTCTATCGCATAGGCTTACTTATTCACGAAAGTACCCCGTAAATTAAATTACGTTTCGTCTGGTGATTGAGGTAACGTGAAGCCGATCGTTTTATGCAGTTCTATTTGTGTC